GGTCCGGGCTGGGGATTCGAACCCGCCACCTTAGGTGTACGTGGCTGGCGCCTTAGCCGGTTGAGCTATAGGCGCCGAGCCTACTTACTTAATTTTTTAAAACAGAGTCTCACTCTGTGCCCTAGAGTAGAGTGCCATTGCATCATCATAGCTCACAACAACCTCAAACTTTTGGGCTTGAGCAATCCTCTTGCCTCAGCCTACCAAGTGTACCTGCCTGCACACCCAGCTGGTTTTTCTACTTTAGTAGAGACAGGGTCTCTTGCTCAGGCTGATCTCAAACTCCTGAGCTCAAGCAATCCACCCGCCTCAACCTCCCTGAGTACAAAGATTACAGGCATGAGCCACCGTGCCGGGTTTAAAATTTTTTTTAGAGATGGGGTTCTTGCTTTGTGGTCCAGGCTGATCTCCAACTCCTAGCCTGAAGCGATCTTCCTGCATCCAAAATAGTGCAATTTTTTCTATTAATACTTGGTTCAAACTATGGGACGATATTTTCCTAAGTGTGTACGGGACTTCACAGAGGCCTCCTTTGGGGAGGAAAAGTCAGTGGTTGCTTGAGCTCCCCCAGCCTCAGGGGCCCACGCGGCAGCACCTCCCTCAGGTGAAGGGAGAGCCGCTTCCTCCGGAGGAAGGTTCCCAGCCGCGGCTTCCCTGGGCTAGGGCCCACCCATGGCCAGCAGGGGGCGCTGTAGGGCCGTGCCTCGGGGATCGCTTTGTCCAGGGAGGAGCTGCAGCCTCCGCGCACCCTGGAGGGTGCTTACAGCCCCGCTGCTCTCTGCTTGGGCCTGCCAGGGGAGCTGACCCAGTTGTTCAGCTCTTCGGCGACACTGCTACCTCCGAGTATAGAGAACAAAACCCAAGCCTAGGCGTTGCTCACTACCCGCTGGCCCCCAGCAGCCAGCTGCAGCCCACCCAGAACACAGGCCTGTTTAGCTGGTCTCCGGTGGGACCTTGTTTGCACGGCTCCACGTAGCAGCCCTGGCCCGGGTCTGGGGTGATCCACTAATGGCCAATATTCTCTGCCTACCCGGCGAAGAGCAGGGAGAACCTTCCTGGAGGGAGACATTCTAGAAGACCTCTGTTATGACCAGTTTAGAAGCCCCTACATCACTCTCAAGTCAACTGCAGTGAGGTGGGGTGGGGAGATTTCTTCCCACACTGGCCCCCACCCCTGACCTCAGATGCCCCCCCTCCTCACATCAGCCCTGAGGCCTTATTGGTCCGTGGCCCCCCATACTGCTCTGGCCCCCACTCTGCCTGAGCTCACCTGAGCTCGGTGGCGTCTACCTCCCTTTCCTTTGCCCTTCACCCTTTATCCTTGTGGCCTGACAGTCACCATCCTGAGCATCTCCCCTCTCCCTGGCACTGTGCTAAGCACTGTGGCAGACATCTTCCTCTTTCTCCTTGCAAGGCAGGCTTCGTGCTTGTCTCTATTTCAAATTAGAGGTGTCTGCAGCTCAGAAAGGCTGAGTGACTTGCCCAAGGTCACACAGCACTAAGAGGCTGAGTCTGAGCGTGTGACTTCTTACCATGCTGCCTCCTGAGCAGGCCTGGCCCACACCATCTTCTCCACTCTGCACCTCGTTTCAGTTCACACAGCTCATGCTGTGTACTTGTCTTGCTTTCTAAAAGTAGTATTTAGTTATTCTTTGGACTTCTACTGAGTACCTCCACTGGGCCAGGCCCAGGAGATGAAGGCTCAGCCAGCATCCAAGGAGTTCACGGTCTGGGAGACAAGTCCTTTCCTGTATATTAGCTGAGCCTTCCCAGGCAGCCCACAGCCTTCCCAAGGGGCTGACGCTGTTTCCTGCTTCTCCTGCAGCCCACCCCAGGGTGATGACCTCCTGGTCCCTTCTCAGGGAGTTGATGCTGCTGTTGCCTCCATTGTTGGGTGGGGGTTGGGCGTGTCTGGTCCAGCAGGCTGTGTGGGGCAGGACAGAGGGCTTGGGAAGAGGTATAGGAGTTCAGGGAAGGTGTTGGGGGTTTCAGCTGATGAGAGCAGGCTTTCTTCTCAAGCACCCAAGGGCTGATCCACCACATGTGGCTGGAGCAGCAGGACCGGGCACTCAGCCCTCCAGTGTCCAATGCTCAGGTCTACAAGGTCAAGGTGGCTCTGTCACTACAGCACTCAGACAAACAGGGCTCTCTGTCTGGAAATCTCTCCTTGATCCTTCCTCACTTATCCTATCCTTACCAAGAGATTTCCAGAACAAAATCTTAAAAGGCCCCTGACTTTTCAACAAGGATGGACCCTGCCCAAAGCCCAACATCTAGTCTTGCAGTGCTGTGTTCCTGATCAAACGGTGAGGGGCCCACAGCCATCCTACACCACAATTTAGAGAAGGGCCCCACAGCAGCTGAGACAGGTGAAGGCATGCCCTTGGGAGTGATTTCAAGCAAAGGGGCCAAGTCCAAAACTAAGGAGGGGAGACACAGGTGAGGGCAGGTGGCAGGAAAAGACTGAGTGAGTGGGCACAGGTACAGCAAGAACGGGTCTGTTTAATGACACAGCTGGGTCTGGTTACAAACATCCGAAACTACAAAAGGAAGACAGGCAGTTACATGGATGGCTCATGAGGGTGGGACGCAGGGCGGGGGGCACACAGGCACAGTAGCCACAGCAGCAAAACATCCTTGAGGACAATACATGTGACCAAGGGGCACACGTGGGGGGTCCCTGGCAAGGCTGACGTGGATGGATGGACAAGAGGAGGGGTGGGGAGGGGAGGGAGAGATGGAGGCATCTGGTCCTGTTGTCCTGCCACCAAGCAGCCTGGATGCCCCCAGGGCTGTCTTCATGGCAAAGGCAGGTGGAGCTAAGGCCCCTTTCCCAGCGCAGCCATCCTGCCCAGAACCCCTGCGCCCTTTATCTGCCCTTGCCCACACCAAGCAACTCAATAAGCCAGATCCTTCTGCCTGCAAGTGGAAAGCAGGAATGTGTGGAGCTGGTCAGAGAATGGGCTGGGTTTTGTGGGCAGGCAGGGTCACCCCAGCCCTGCCCAACCAGGCCCAGAACACTCTGCTCTGTTGTGGGGCTTCCTTCTCCACCTGAATACTTGGTTCTCTGCTCGTCCAGGATCCCTCCCTGCCCCACACACAGGTGGGCAGACCAAGGCTCTGGGCTCGGCAGATAACATGTTATAGATATGTAGGTGTGTATATGTGTGTGTATACATATTTATATATAGGTTGTATATAGAATATATTTGTATATACGGTAGATGTGTGTATGATGCTCTAGATGGTGATAAGACCTGCATGCTGGTCGGGCAGATAGAAACGGAGTTGGTCTATCCCTGGAACGGCTCCTGTCCCCGCTTCCCACCAGCCGCTCAGCTAGGTCTGTCTCTAACAGTGAGTAGAAAAGCTAAGAAGAGCAGCCCTGCTCTGTAAGGAGGAAGGGCCGCCGCCCGCTGCTGCACTGGGGGTGCCACCTCCCGGCAGCTCCAGGGGGACGGTGGCTGTGGCAGAGGCCTCCTTCCGGAAAGTTGAGTTGGGGATTCCTCCAGCTTCCTTGGCACTCAGAAATGGCAGGTCAAGGAGGGTCTTCAGAACTCGGCCTTCTGCGCAAGGTGCTGCCAGGGAGGGGGGGAGGAAGGAGGGGTCCTATGGCCCCGAAGAGGGCAGTGTGGCCGGTGGGCTGTGGACGACATAGGAAATGGAGGTAATAGGTCATGAGGGGTTGGGAAGGAGAACAGGGAAATTGGGGGGCCACAGAGAGGAATCTGGGGACAGTGGGACAGGGTGTTTCTGCTGAGACCCGGCATAGGGCAGCTGAAGGCAACCATTAGACCCAAGTCCGAGGCCCCCTCCTGCCACAGACCTACTGTGAGATCTCAGCAAGTCTGGTGGCCCATCAGAGCCTGGTTCTTTTTCTCTAAAATATGAATAATGTCTGCCTTGCCTGCCTGCATGAGAATCGGGAGACATAAACTGTAAAAGTTTAAAGTCACAAACTACAAAGCATCATACAAATGTGATCTCTCTTTCTGTCCAATTTGAAATGTGCTGCATTCTGTCCAGCCTGTCTTGTACCTCCCCTGGCCACTTGTCCATCTGTCCATATTATTCTCTGTACATGTAGTTCCCTGCCTCACCCCCATGACTCCACAAAGGCACACACACCCTAAAGCAGAGACAGTTCCATAAACAGTGGCGCCAGGCCCACCACTGCTTCTCTGATAAGACAAGCTGGATGGGGCTGGATGGGGCTTTCTAGAACTCTGCCCTGTAGCTTGATCCCACCCTCTGAGCCCATTTGGACCCTGGTAGGTTGGGTCTGCGGTTGGGACCGGAGAGACATGACTTCTTGGGACCTCACCCATACCCTTGAGAAAACAGGGGTGGCGTTGAGGGTGCAAAGGAATGAGGGACAACCCCAGGACCTGATGGCTAGGACTCATCCCTGTGTGAGAGATAGCTGGCTCCCTGTCCTCCCCTCTAGCCCATTCAGTCCACAAGGAGCAGAAATGGGTGGAGGAAGAGACTTTGGCAGTTTGCACGTGTTTGGGGTTTGGAGAGCTCTAAGTCCCTGGGGGGCGGGGCGGGGTGTCGTGCTGGGGAACGTCAGCCATGTGTTTCTGATTCACTGGGGCTCGTGCCCAGCCAGCTCTCTCTCCAGTCCCTCTAGGCCCCTGTAAAAAAGCCCTTTTCTCTAGAAGCAGGAAGTCTTGTGTCCTGGCTATAAACAAACTCATCTTTGGCGGCAGAGCCTGCCTGGGGAGGGGTGGGAGGTCAAGCCCCTCTTCCCCTGTCCCTCCTCCTCCTCTGACTCTTCCTGGCCCTCCTGGGTGACAGCTGGGGGGCAGGGGGTGGTAAGCCCAGCTCCCCAGGCTCTGCCAATGCCCTCCTCTGGCAGGTAGAAATCTCCTGTTTCCTGTCCACTCCAGGGTCTGGGGCAGGCCAGGGCCCAGCTGTGCACATCTGGAGGTGGCCTGGCTGCAGCCAGCAATTTCTGGGGACTCTGCTCTCCCGGGGTGGTGCCAATGTGGGAGAGGGGAACAAGAGCATGCTGGGGCCAGTGCAAGTGGGCAGCAGGAAGGGCAGCTGGCCTGGCCTACTCAGCTGCCCTTGGGGGAAGCCTGTGAGCAGGAGTCCCGCAGACCTGGGGGCTGGTGCAGATCCCAGGAGGAGATGCAGCCTTTTCCATGGGAAACTGCTGGGAATGTTTCTCTACAACGCGTGTCCTGAGCCTCTGGCTGACCCCTGGTTCCCATTCCCGCCTCCGCTCCTCTCTCTCTTCCTACTCCAGCCCTGCCTCCACCCCTTCATTCAGCTCCCAGAACCAGCTGCCCCTTGGGGGCCCAGGGAGGCCGGAGTGTTCCCAGCCGTCAGGTCTGGGGACAGCCCTCCCCTTCTGCTCTGAGTCGGCTAGGGTCATTGAGGCTGGCCACCCTCCTTGAGCCGTCTCTGGGCCCAGAACTGGAAGCTGGGCCTCTGGGTCAGCTTGGAAGTAAACAATCCTCTGCTAGCGTGCGGTGTGTGTGAGTGACACCCATGTGGGTCCTGCCTGGGCTTTGGGCATGAGTGTGTGTGCACATGTCCTCGTGATCTTCCTGGCTCTAACCCTTGTCGAGGCAGAGGGCAAACAGGAGCACTGGTCAGCATTGAATGAAAAAACAGCCCCATGTGATTGGTGCCCAGGGAGGAAGTAGCTGGAGCTGACCCAGGCTGCCTCTGGGCCTGAGGAGCTAACCTTCCCACCAGGACCTCAGCGGCTCTCTGCCCAGGGAGCTGTGGCCCTGGGTGCCCTGACACTCCCTTGCTCCTCTGCAGGAGGAGGATCTGCTTGGGGATCATAGCCCAGCCAAGAGCAGAGGCAGCCCGAAGTCAGGGGAACCGTCTCAAAGGCCTTTTCCTATTGTTCCTGTTCTTATATGTCAGACCCCAGAGTTGGCTTGTCCCAAGTGTTCCCGTGCTAGTTGTCAGCCCCTGAGCCCCAGGAGAGATGGGAGACTTAAGGGACACGAGAAGACATGGCAAGGAGACTGCCCAGCCCACCCTCACCCGCCTCCTCACGTGGTGGCGTTGGGGACCTGCTGTACCCAGCCCACTTCCTTGTAGGCAGCAGTCACGTGGCTGTAGATGAGGCCACGCAGCTTGGCCCAGGCTCTTTGTGTCTCAGGTGGGAAGTCGTTGGCAAATTCCTCGGCAATCACCTCCAGAATGACCCCAGAGAGGATCTGGGGGCAAATGGAGAAGGGGGAGTGAATGCCTGGGTACCGTGCCCCTCCTGCAGCCCCCAGGACCCCTCTGTCCTGCCTGTGGCTAAGGGGGTCTTTCATATCACAACAGCCTGGCAGCTTTGGGAACCAAACACTCTCAAGACAAGAGCTACCCTGGACCCAGCCCCTACATCCTATTGGGTTCTGCCCTCCCTGTTGTGGTCACTCCAGGAGAAGAGGCTGGGCAGCTCAGTGGGAACCTCTGCTGCCCCAGGGAGCCCTCCCAGAGTCTGCAGGCTGCAGGTGGCCGGGGTGTGGCCCCTGGGGGACTCAGGAGCAGAGCAGAGTGGACAGTGGGGCAGCAGCACCCAGCAGAGACACACCTTGAAGTATACGGGTTCCACCTTGTGCTTGAGGGCGTGGGCTTTGCCCACGAGGGCAAGCACAGAGGACACCTTGTCAGGGTCATGCAGGTTCTCCACCACGGTGTTGAGGGCCCCCATGACCCGGCAGGCGTGCTTCCGCAGCTGGGGGCTCCTCTCCATCTCCAGCGGCTCCTCCATGTGCTTGAACTGGCTAAAGTACTGCTTGGCCGAGGGGAAGTTCACAAAGAACCTGGCAGGAGGGAGAAGGGTGGACACTGAGGCTGCCTCAGGCCCCACTCTGAAGTGACCCAGGTGGTGGGTGAGGATGAGGGCTGGTGAACAGAAGCCCCCCCAGTAATCATTTTCACCCCCCATGTAGCCGTAGCCCTCAAACACAGACCCTCGCTCAGGCCAAGCGTCTTGCATGCGGCCAGGCCTGGTCAGGCGGGTGTCTTCTCCCAGATTCTGCCTTCCTTGCTTCTTGCCTTCTGTTCAAACTCTATGCACACCCTTTAAGGGCTGCTCCAGTGGCAGCCAAGAGGGTAAAAGCACAGGTCCTGGAATCATGAGTTTATGTGAAATTGTCTGATTTCCTCCAAAATATTGCTTTCATTAGGTCACTCTCACACTCAAAAACATTCAGTGGCTGTCCATGGTCTGCCAAAGTCAAAACTCCTTAACCAGGCACTCCAGGCTTCTTAGGGACTGTCCCATAGCCACTTCTGCAACCTTGTGTCCATATTTGAGCTATTTCTGTTCCAGCCAAATGGCTTCACTTAGCATTGGTAAAACATTCCTCAGGTGGCCACACAGTGGAACGCCTTCCTTCCTTCTTCCCTGTGTCGACTTCCCTCTCCCTGAGCAACTAGCCTGGCCCAGGGATACTGCTTTCCCCTCAAGGTTACGAGTGCCACTCAGGTGGCTCTCCCTGTCACCCATATCAGTCTGTTACACTGGATCCCAAACCCAACAGCAGAAGCCAGGTCTCACATACCCTCTGATCCCCTGTCCTGGCTGGGGCCCTGCAATGTGTAGAATGACAATGACATTTGTCCCTTTTCTCCCAGCTGGGCCTGGACATCATGTGAGATACGTGCACAGACTTAATTGGGCCTGCATGACTTAACTGAATCCTCAGAAGACACACACAAGTGTCTTCACCTATTTCTTACATCGTTCCACACCTTTGGCATGTCCCTTTTTGTGTTCAGAGACCTGATAATTTGCCAACCCAGCCCTCTGGCCCAGAGTCGAGTCTCAGATGTGAGAGCTGGAACAGATGCACAGAGAGCATCTGGCAGGGCCATCTCTCCCAGCAATGGAGCTGCCGTTGGCGGGGGGAGGTTTGGGCAGTGACCAGGGCACAGTCCATGTGGAGACTTGGGAGGGCCCCTCTCAGAGGCCAACTGTGACCTTGGGCAAACCACTTCCCAACCTCCCCTTCTGCAGAAGTGTGAGAGGAATCCATCCCCCTTGCCGCTCCATAGATCCACTGATGAGGACAAACGAGGCAATGGGTTTGAAAATACATTGGATTTTTTCTGGAGAAGCATTGCAATGAGGGACAAATGTAAGAAACCCAACTGGAACTTAGATAAGCATCTCAGACTTCGGGGATTTTATAATAACAATAAAAATAATGATATATATATGCTCGGTAAATGAAAATTTGCAAAGCATCTCTACCTCTGTTGTTGTATGTAATTGCCACACCAAGCAGGTATTATGTCCGTAACAGGGAACATTTATTGAGCACTTATTATATGATCTCACTTATCCTTGCGATACCTTGAGGTTGGCACTGTTGTCCTAATCTTATGGATTAGGAATTGATGCCCAAGATTGCCCAATAAAGTTGGTGGCAGCACTAGGAAGGAGGCAGGGTGGGTTGCCGGTGAGTCTCCTTCTCCCACACCCAGCGCCAGGCTGAGGAATAACAGTCCCAGAGAGCCCCAGCTTCTGGGCTGGGGAGCCTGGGACCCACGTGCTCTGCTTCTCCTTCCTGGCCTCCCCCTCAGCCCCTCTGTATTCCCCCGACCCCCTTCAGTCTCAGCCTGTGCTGCCAGGGAGAAGCCTCGGCAGCCAGCCCTGGGGAGTTTCTCAGCTCCCAGAGGCATCTGGGCTTCCAAGGGAGCCTGAAATAGGCTTGTCTGAGTGTGAGGGGGAAGGTGTCAGAGTTACAACCAGGAGGGAGGGTGGGTGTTCCCTCTTGGTCTTCTCCCTGCAGGGAGGGGAAGTAAGTGTGGGGTCTGCCTCAGACCCTGAAGGCAATTCCTCCTCCACCCCTACCAACTTCTCCAGGTGAGAGTGTGCGGGTGCAGCTGCCTCCTCCTGGCCCTGCAGGCCAGTGAGCGATGCCCAGAGCCTGGCCCTGTGTGGAAGGTAGATGTAAGAGTGATGGGACAAAGGGCTGGAGTCTCAGTCTCTAGCTGGAGCCTTGTCCTTGAGGATGTGTGTGATGTATATGGGAAGACAGGGCATTGTGACAAGACTGATGGGCTTAGGATCCTGAGGGACTTTGGGTGCCCCTAAGGGGAAGCTAATTGATCTTGCCATTACCTCCCTCTCCACCCCTCCTCCACTGGGCAGGCCCTGGGCAGACAGCAGGAGGATGGGGAAAAAGCAAAGGAGAGTGACTGAGACTGTGCTGGGCCAGGATGATCTTCCCCACCACCTCTAGTTGGGGTCAGGGGAAGTGTGGCAGGCCAGATCAAGCTGCTATCTCAGGCCGTCTCAGATTTTTGTGGGCTTTTCTCTGAGCACTGAGCACACTGGTAAATGCCTCCCCTGGCCCAAGCCCACGAGCCTCTAAAAGTCAAGAACAGGGAGCCAGGAGGGTGTGTAGAGGGAGAAAGGAAACCTTACCAAGAGCTCAGACTACCTGGAAACAGCCTGCTCTGAGCATTTAGTTTCTTCCTTTGCACCCCCACCCCGTCCCATTCCTAGGGAGGTTCAGGGGCTCCCAGGAGATAGACTGTGGACACATGCTCTACACATCCTCACTGGTAAATGACAGAGTTGGGACAGAACATCTCCAAGGTTCTGTGGACCCTGCCTTCAGTCCCCTTGGTGACCCATGTTCGAATCCTGGGGCCTGGGGACCTGCTTGTGCCAACACAGGGCTGAGCGCGGCCTCTGAGGATGCAGTCTGTTGCATCTGTGACTGTGCTGTCCACTGTGTGCTGCGTGGGTGCTTGCACGTGTGGATCCAGGGCTCTGAATGTCTGGAGCTTCAGGATCCCAATCCCCTCTTCACTTCCTGCCACCCTTAGCTGTGTGTCTGGGCCTGGGGGCTGCTGAGACAGCTGCCCATTCCTCAGGAAAGGTCTTTTAACTCCAGAAGTATTTCTTGCTCTTTTTCTTCCAAAGTCTGCTTCTAAGTTGGAGGAATCAGGGCATATCAGTATGGAGCTGGTTGGGTCCCAGGCTTAGGGGTAAACAGGAGCTGGAGATGGGGCAACCTAAGAGCCAGGCACATGCTGAAGCTGTCTTTCCAAAGGCCAAGTGTTGCCCCATCTTCATGGAACAAGACCGCCCTGCTCTGCCCTAGATTTGACAGTTTCCCTCTGCCAAGGACAGGAGCTTCCAGGTAAGTGTGGTCTGGGGCTTCTCTGCCTGCACCCCCCAGGGACCTGCCCACGTGGGAAGAGAGCATGGATTTGTAGCTAGAATCAGTTACTAGCTTGTGAGGCTTGGAGACATAAACTATGTAAGAATGGCATATCTGCCCCATGTGTAGGTGTGTGAATAACAGTGGCACCCTGTGGGTCCTTCAGAGGCTTGTGGTGCCGGAGTGACCCTTGAGTCCAAGACACAGCATTTCCTCCCTAGGTGGGGGGGTTTCAGGGCTGGCCCTGTCTCCTGAGGCTTCTCTCTTCTCCCTCCTCCACCAAACTCTGCAGGGACTGTTTCCTAGGGGACTGTTTGCTTCTCCACTCACCTGTGCCTTACCTGGGAGCTCTGCTGAGCCCCCCACTTCTGGCAGGAAGGCGGCAGCTGGGAAACCGAACCCCAGCGGTCTACTCCTTCTGACCTCCACTCTTTCTCTCTTTGCTCTGTTCTTCCAAGAGGCTTGGAACAGGCAAAGCGGTTGAGCTGGAGAGAGGGGTCTGTTCCTCTTTGTCCCCCTTCTTGACTGAGCCTCAGTTTTCTCGTCTCTAAAATGGGGAGCCCTCAATGCCCTATTTGAAAGGCTAGCAAAATGTGTGTCCCTAACAGCTTGGCTGGGTGGCTGGAGTCGCTGGCGAGGACAACACAGCGGCTGAACGAGTTCTGAGAATGAGGAAACCAGGGGAACCGAGACGCCCTCCCGCATCTGGTTGCTAGTTCCTGCGAGCCCCGCGCCCGAGGCCATAAAAGATTCACCCGAGGCTTCGCCCACCCCAAGGCGCCCCAACGCTGCCCGCGCCCGGCCAGCTCCGGCCCAGCGATCGCAGCTGGGGAGGTGGCGCCGGATCTCGGACCCGGGCCCAGCTTGCTTCTGCCCGGAACCGCTGCGGACCTCCCTGCCCTGGGCCTGGCCGGGCAGGGGCGACACCTACCTCACCAGGATGGCCACCCCCACGTCCTCGCAGTTGGCATAGAGCCGGGCCCACGTAGCCTGCACCGCCTTCCTCTCTGCCTCGGACAGCTCCTCGCTCCGCTCCCTGCGCTCAATCTCCATCTCGCCCGGCACTTTCTCCATGAGCAGCTCCAAACCCAGCCGGGCTTCGCTCGGCGGCGGCGGCGGCGGCGGGGCGCGGGGAGCCGGGGCCGGCTGCGTGCGCGGCGGGCGGGCGAGGGGTAGAGCGCCGGAGGGAGGGAGCGTGTGTGTCTGTGCGCGCCGGGTGTGTGTGTGTGTGTGTGTGTGTGTGTGCAGGGTATATGTGCTGGGGGCGGGGGACCGCGAGCGGGGGGCGGAGATGTGGTCTGCTGGAAAAATGTTTAAAAAAACAAATCCGCTCCAAACCCCCAAGCCCGTGTCGGTGAGCCAATTCCGGCAAGGTGAAGGCTGGGCGGGCTGGGTGGGGGCCACACGGCTGCCGCCCGCCCACCGCAAGGCCACTGGCAGAGTTGGATCGCGGGGCGGAGCTGGGGGTAGGTGTGGCGGGTGTGCTGGGGGTCCCGGGACGAAGGGGCGACCGCGCGGTGCAGGACCGAGCGTACGGGAGTGCGCCCTGCGGTGCGGGTCTCGGGGCACAGTGTCCCGGCTCCCGCTGCGTGCCGTGCCAGGCGTGTGCGTATGTGTACCCCTTACGCGGTGGGTAACTGACTCAAAGTCAAACACTCTTAAGCATTTAAGGCGCGGCCGCCCGCCGCCAGCCCGAGGGGACGAACGCGAGCCCCTCCGACAGCAGCCGCGGACCCCGCGTTGGCCCCTGCCTCTCGAACCAGTCGCCTCTCCCAGAGCTCCAGACCTCCAGGCTCTGGAGGAGTTACTGGGGTGTCACCCCACCTGCCTACCTCTCGGCTGTCGGAACTTGAACACACCTTCCAACCTTAGGTGTCAGGGCCCTGCGCCCGCTTGCCTTCCGGCCGACACCCCCATCCCTCGGTGCACGCACGCGGTGGCGGCGGCGGCCAGAAGTCCCTGCGTGGCTTTTTAATGACACAGACAGGCAAGAACCAGGCGCTGCCCTGAATTCTGGCCTTGGCAGTGGCAGAGGAAAGTCGCAAGGAGAGGACAGAGAGGACCTGGCGGTCAAGAAATATTCTCAGTTCCCATTCAAGTCCCTACCCTGGGGATGGTAGAGACAAACCCATTCCAGGGCCTGGGGCTCAGGAAGGTGTGAGTGAGATGAGGCTGGAGGCTGAGACAACCTCTGAGAGCAGCAGGGTGCCCGCTCTGCAGCAGCTGCTTAGTCTTAGAGAAGCCTGAGAGCAGCCAGGGCCTGCGGGTCCCACTCAGAAGTGCCGTACACGTAGGGCGTGTCTGTTTCTTCCTCAGACTCCCTGGTAATTCTTGTCCTGCCCAAGACTGGTGTTCCGCTACCTAAGCATTGCCAGGGGTTAGCTCTTTTCCTCAGCTTCAGATCATGTATTTATTTTTAAAATCCAATTTTAAGGTAAAGAGAAAGGAATGAAGTGAGAACCCACCAGGTCCTGGTCCCTCCTAGAGCTCAGGGCTCAGATGCCTGCTAGGTGCCCCCCCCCCCAACTCCCACTCATAGGGCAGTGCCTCTGACACTGCCTCCACTTCCTTAGGGAAGGAAATTCTACTGCGGGGCGTGGGGGTGGGGTGGGTGGGTGGGTGGGTTTGCAGGGGATGGAGGAGAGAGGATGAGTTCAGGTTCTTACATTATTCTCAGACCTTCGATCCACTGAACTCTCCCGACAGTTTCCCAAAGCTGGGGTGGCAGTCCCCAAGCTACTGTCCAAGAAGTTCCTTTGGGATATGGAAAGAAAATAGGAGAAGTCTTAATTCTATTCCTTTTTGTCTCATCTCTTATAAACTGTCTATGTCTATGGCATAGGAATGTGTGTGTATACAGTTTATAAGTAGATGGATGTGTCTGTTTTGCAAGTCCACACTCTGACTTTCACAGAAGACGGTGTGTGCTCAGAGAAGTGTGGATGGATTGTCCAGACCAGCCATTTGCTCTCTGGTTCCCTTGTCTTTCTTTCTTCATCTAATATTCTTCCTCTCTCATTCACCCTTTCATTTCCTCCTTTCCTGATGCCTCCACTGGGACACCATTGTCTGCTGTCACTGAACTTTCAGGTTCTGGAAGATGCCATCTAATCTCATGTCAGCAGCCTGGGCCACGTCTTCTGCCCAAGGGTCCATCTTTCCCTGATCACCTGCAAATTCAGATGCCCCCAGCTCCTCTTTGAGCTGTTACCTCATGCCTGTATCTCCCACATTGCTCCCAAGTCACTCTGTTGCACTCATTTAACTTTACAGAGCATTTATCTGGACTCTCCTTGAGAACAAGGCCCAATCTCATCAACTCTACATTCAGAATACTTGCTCGGTGTCACACGTGCACCTTGACCCTGCCACTGAGGGGAGAACCTGGGCCCAGTGAGCTTAATCGGTCCTCACAAGGTCAGGCTGCTGATCCCACTAATAAGCTTGAGCCTCCTAATCCATCCCAGCAGAACCTCAGGACAGTTGACAGTGGCTCCTGAGAGCTGGCTGGGGCCATTTTGGCCCCTCGCCTGTGGCCATCTTCTGCAGACTTGGTCTGGGAGGGGATGGGGCAGCTGAGCCATGTGCACCACCCTCTTCCTACTCAGCACCTTGGCCATGCTCTGGCGCCGCCGATTTGCCAACCGGGTCCAACCGTGAGAATCTGACTGGGCTATGACTGGGGTGGGGGAGGAACTACTGAGCTGAGCCCCAGCCAAGCTCAAGGTGGGCAGAGGCTGCCTGGACATCCAGGGGGCTGGGACGGCATTTCCCGGGAACCTGAGAAGCTCACTGTCAAAGGAGGGAACTTGGAGCTTCTGAGGCACTAGCCTGCAGCCTCCACTCCCATAGCTCCACGTGGCTAGGCCCGGTGTAGGAGCATAAAGTCGCTGGCCACTGGTCACAGCTCCCCCTGCCTGCTCTTGCCTCCCACAGAGAATCCAGCGCCATGGATGGGTCAGTTGCTGGCAGCAGCCTGGACACAGATCTCCAGTCCTCAGGCAGGTGAGGCAGAAAAGGGTCTGGGGTAGGAGAGGGAGGGTGCTGCCAAGGAAGCTGTCGCATGCCTTGGAGTGCGCGTGCGAGCACGTGTGTATGTGTTGCCCTTGTTGCCCTGTTCCTGTGTGCCTGGTAGGTAGTTTGGATTTCTATTTTCTCTACTTAAGAAAGGCAGCCTCCACCCCCCTCCTTTGGACCAAAGCTGCTCTGCCTTGCCCCTCCAAGTGCGAGTGGTCCCCAGGGGCACCTTCTGTTGGTGAGTGCAGGGGAGTGGAGCGAGGTACACGACTGTCCAGCTTTTTCCTCGCCCTTCCCTTCCCCCACCTTCTCCTCTGCCCCCGCCCACCTCAGCGGTTCCACTGCCTGAACCTCCAGCAGGATTCGCTGTCCAGTCCCCAATAGCAGGCGCAGGAGCAGCATGACATCATCAGCGCTGAGCGCCATTGGCTGGGCAGACCCTGCGGGCAGGACGCTGTCTCCAGTGGCCAGGAAGTTAACTCTTCCCTAGGCTGAAGCCATGTGGCCTTTAGGGGATGAAGTTGTTGAACTTACAAACATTTCCTTCCTTCCCTGGGTAACCAATGTCATTCCATAATAGAGGCTCCTATGTCCAACAAAACACTGAAAAAAAAAAAATCAACCAATTTTATTAATTATCTATGTGCGAGATGTTCTTTTTGTGCCTTTGGACCCACCTAGCTTGGGAGACTTGTCTGTAAAGTGACTCTCCTACTTTTCAGACAAAAACAGAAAGGACTTTCGTCAGTGGGCTCCAGAACCCACTGGCAGGATGCTGTCTCTAGTCAGGTGTACTTAGACGGTGGGTACAGTAGCATGGATGACTGTGACCCTTTATGTCTCTTTATGAGTGGGGACCTGCCTGCAACGCATCCCTTAGATATGTGGAAAATGACAACCAGAGAACTCAAGAGTCCTTCCCTGTTTCTTCTCATCTTAGTTCTGGGATTCTCCCAGATTCTGACAGAAGGCCCAGAGGGAAATATGGGCATGCAGAGGAAATGGAGGCATTTTTGTGACACCTTTCTTCAGCTCACTGGGCTAGCTGAGATCATCATAGTAGTGACTAATATTAGTAATTAAATGGACTGACATAAAAAATGACTGTCCTTGGGCCTTATCCAGAGGATACACTCAAATGCTGACTGGTCCTCACTATTGAGTTTGGGTCTAAAGTTGGGAAGCCAAAATATAAATCCTGGCTTCCTTCTGAGAGATTTTGGGAAAATTATATAATAATTTTATTTCTATGTAAACTAGGGTTAGTAACAGAGTGGTTGTGAGGTTTCTGTGAGGGCATAAAGTAATCACTCAGTAAATGCTATTACTTTGCTATTTTGTACTTGATCAGTTCTTTATTCTTCTCCAGAGGTTTTTCATACATTAACTCATTTGGAAGTCTCATTAACCCCAGAGATGTGTTTTTTAAGCTCTTATTAGTGGTTGAGTAAACTGAGAGATAGGGAAATTTAAGTGACTTGCCCAAGATCATTCACCTAATTTGTGGGTAATGTGGAACCATCACATCTCTGACTCTCAGGCAGTGTCTCTTCTACATGAAATGGACCTGGACCTCCTGGCAAGAGAGGAAAGGCCAAATCTGAGGACCATCTGGCCAGGCCTGGTGACTTAGCCAGAAGGAAGCAGTTGCCTATTAACTCCTTGGGACCCAGTTAACTGGAAAAATTAGTTTGACATGGAGGAACTACCTGCTGACTCACAGAGAGCTGGCTGGGTGGCAGTAGGGGTGACATTTCTGCTCTCCAGTTATACTGTCATCAGTTCCAACTGGTTTCTTATGTGTTCCTGCCCCTCAATATTGGGGTGAATTATTAGGCATGGGGCTAGGAGGGAAAGGAAAGACAGAAACATGAGAAGGTCACTGCCTTCATTCCTGACTACTTTACTTTCCTCTGTTTAGGGAAAAAGAACCTCTGAAGTAAGCCCTCATCACTTCTGCAGGTGGGGGCTCAGCCCCAGAGACTGGGATCAGCTGGCCCAGGCAGGTAGGCCAGGGCTGGGAGCTGGGAGGGCAGAGGGCAGGGCTGAGGACAAGGAAGGAGGAAGTAATCAAGGCTTGCCATGTGGACGCACAAGAAGCAGACTGTGGCTGTTGTAGTCACTGGTGCAGGTGAAGAGTAAGTGGGTGCGCTCAGTGCTCGTAGCTCAGTGGGTAGGGCGTCGGCCACATACACCGAGGCAGCAGTTCGAACCCAGCCTGGGCCTGCTAAAACAACAATGACAACTGCAACAACAACAACAAAAATAGCCGGGCATTGTGGCAGGCACCTGTAGTCCCAGCTACTTGGGAGGCTGAGGCAAGAGAATGGCTTAAGCCCAAGAGTTTGAGGTT